GTTGTCATTATTTGGTGATTGCATGCGAAGAGTTAAAAGTTCATCTAAAGTTCCATCATCTGTTCTTTTTATATTATCATTAACTATACGCGATATTAAGTCATTTTTATTTCCATTGGGCGAAAGATTTCTTAAACGCAAGTCTGATTTTAACTGGGCGACAGTTAAATGAGTCAGTCGTTCCACATTCAAGGCATTCAAAACAGAATTCACGTCTGTTGACATCTTGGCGAGAAAAGTGCAGCGAATCTGTTTTGGCGACGTATGTTTGGCGAGAAGAAATCAGTATATAAAGGAATCCAATTTTCAAATTTTTTTCGGTTAAATATGTTATTTTTTGTCAAAATAGGTTTACCTGGGCGAGTTTCAGCCAATGATGAATACTTTTTTGCTTCGTTGGCAGTCAAAATTTCATGGAAAGAATTTAAAATGTAGCGATAGAAAAAGTTCAATGCAGAAGTAGACGATGTTCAAAGAATAAGTTGTAAAAAGGTTCTTTTTTAAAAAAGACGGCTGCGCCATATAAGATAAAGTTGAATGACAAGGAATTTAATTAATATGCTATACAGTAAATAAGCAAAGAGATATTTTATAAAAGCATTTAATGAAAAATAATAACAGCGAAATATATGTTTTTGCGAAGCGTTCTATTTACTTATCTGAATGTTGCCACCTTTTTATATGAAAGTTAAACTGTTCTCTGCTGTAATAAAATTAAACTTATGCGAACCTTACATATGTTTAAATATAAAAGTATAGCATATAAACTCGTGCAAATCATGTAATTATTAAAATACTACAGTTCCTCACACAATAATTTGATCCAATCACAATAATTTGGTCTAATTATTATAATATACTAATATAATACCTGATATAATAAATATTCTATATTTATATAATATATCGTCTCATTTATCCAATCGTCGAATTTATATTATATATGGTCTAACTTAAACAATTGATATACGAACGTAAACAAGTGCAAACCGGTTTCAGCCGTTTAAAAGCAATAAAGTTGTTTGGTATCCCGTGATAATTAAGGTTTTTATAGCATCTTATAGTGCGTCTAATAATTTGGTCAGGGACAGTAGCAATAAATATAGCGGGATAAACAATTTTATAATTGACAAATTTCATGTATGCAGTATTCGATCGATGTTTTCATAACGAAATGTTGCATTTTTAATTAGTAACTTGAATATATATTTGTTTATTTTTCAAAGATTTAATGGGAAAATTGTGCCATACTAAGCCTTTTAGAATTTCCACAACAGATTGTTAAACTGTACACATAAGGGGAAATCTAATCTTTCTGGCGTGATCTTTCAAAAGTAGATAGTTTGTAACATTTTATCATGAAAACATGAATAGCAATATTGTATACTTCGTTACTTTGGTCAACAAAATTTTTTTTTTCCTTGTTTATTTGTGTAAACTTAGCAGAAGTTGTGACTGATCTTTAAAGTTTCATTTTACATGTCCTGATTTTTTTTACTAACTAAATTTTAGCAGCGTTGATATTAGCAAGACGAATTATTCCAACTTATCATAATTTTTTCTTTGCGGATCTTTTATAATATGAACTTCATGTTTAATAAAAGGTTCTCTTGAAAAGGTCAGAAAATAACTTTCGGCTTGGTCACTTAAAATTTAAGAAATTTATGTTCTATTAAATATAGTATGAGAAAGACTTAGATATAAACAATAAATAAAACTAGATCCAGGGTGACTTAGAGGATTGAGCGTTCGCTTTCTAATGATGTGAACCGGGATTGAATACCAGCGATGGCTGGTCGATTCGAATTCTGCACCCGTCTCGCACCGACCACAGTGCTGATGTAAAATATCCTCAGTGGTAGACGGATTATGGGTTAGAGTTAACCGTGGGAGATTTTCATGGTTTTCTTCTCCATGTAACGCAAATGAGGATTAGTTTCATCAAAAAGTCCGCCACTAGGGCAAATTTTTCCCAATGCTTAATCGAGGAGACCGCTTGCTTTATGGATTGGGTTCAAAATTACAAGTCTACTGAGTTGAACATTGGTAGTCGTAAACCCTAAATTGGGTTAGCTGTTCAACGACAAATAAAATGTAAAATAAAAAAATAAGCAAATACATTATGATTTTTTTTACATAAAATTCCAGTGTTCTAATAATAATTGTAATAATTAGCATAAAGAAAGCTCTTTACTTGATGCTAAGATAGGATCGCTTAAACTTGAGCAGATTTTCCTCTTACCACAAATTCCTGACACTCCATTAAAACTCATTATGTCGTTACTCGCGTGTCGTAATCCATGACGTACGTCATTTAGAAAAAAATCCTTATCATTAACGTGTTACGTCTTTATTTTTTATCTTAAAACAGCAAAGAACTTTCAGTTCGTTTTATCTCAAGTTTAAAAATCTTGGTTTAATCGAATTTTATTGCTATCGATGTAACCAAAAATTATGTTCATGATGACTTATATTTATGTTTCTGCCACGCGAGTGATCGCGGTGGCTTTCAAAATCTGCATATTGTGCTTGTATGTACATATGGAAACCATACAGATAATTAAAACAGAACTAAAGAAATACTTAAATAAATCTATTAATATAAAACGATGTTTTGGAAGAAAATGAATTAATCATGAAAATTATTTAACTTACTTCCATATGGGAAAAAATGTGAAAATATAAACCGGAACGTATCTTCTTCGACATAACCACTTGGACACTCCTAAAAAATGTCAATTTATTAGAATAAATTTACAATTTTAAATATTTTATTAAATGTATTATTGATATTTATTATCCTGATCAAACAAATAGAGTAGACAGTTTCAATCGAGTAAATAATATAACTTAGAGATAGTAAGCAAGGTAAAAATAGTTTTTATAATCACTAACCACACTAAAAATCACGAATGAGAATAAGAATCTCAAATCAAAAAAGGAGAAAAAAAATATTGCAAAACTATTATTTTGTGTAACATTTATAATTATTTAAATTAGAAAAAAATATAAGTGATTTTGAATAAATCTGAAAAAAATCAGCACTAATAATTGCTTATAAATTTTTTTTAAATATGTTATTTAGGAAATCAGTTTTTTAAATGTGAAAATTTAAGAATATTTTATGTTTTTTGAAAAATATAGAAACTAATTTTATATTTTTTTAATCAACTGAAACGTTTATTATGTAAATACGAAGGCAACCCCAAAAAGTAAGGTTAATTCTTTTTATGAAACACTAATGTCACATCGCTTTTAAGGTTAAACGTTTGTTAATGTTTCTACATAAAAAATATTCCGGATCAAATTACTGTAAAATGTAAAGGCACCCAGTCGGCACTTTTTACTGCAAATTCCATTTTTTACAGTAAAATTTTAGGAAACAAAAGTTTTATATACTGTAATTTTTACAGTAATATTTATTGTAAATTCCCTGAATCATTGTAGTTAATTAATTATTACTGTAATACACACAGTATAAAATTTTATGCTAAGAATGGATTTTGCGGTAAAATTAATTTTATGGATGAGGCAATCAAGATGCCGGTTAATTTTTCCTTAATTTGATCCGGAAATTTTTACAGTGTGCATAATCACCATCGCACATAGTCAACCATTGGTCGATGCATTTTCGAGCCAGTGTTATTCTTTTCGTTTGTCCCTGTCCTGCCGCCTCCCCGCTATGTAATTAAGAAAGCGTTAGGAATTGCTTGCTGCACTTATAATAAATCCTGACATATATTGAGAAATTGAAAAAAAAAGAAAGAAAAAAAAAACGGTAAAATTCATAAGGGCGTATCAAAACCGGTGAATTGCTGAATAAAGACGTAAGTATTTTGTATTCGTCAAACATCTATTTTTTTGCTTTCCTGCACAGCAGTTTAAATAGAAAGTCATCCCATGAAAAATTCCTTAGTTTGAGCTCGGCCTTTATCTACCATCTGTTAGGTGTTAATTCATCACACTTCTATCTCAATTAAAATATGAAACAGGTGTGTGATCGAAAACATGGGCAAAGTATAGCATGGTATAACATGGACAAAGTATTAAAGCAAGAACAGAGTCTAAAAAAAAATACATTTTCAGTTTTGTGAGAGCAGCAAAAGTTTAACCTTTTAACATGTTGCTTGCCTTAATGAAATGAAGATTCTCTTTAAAATAAAGATTGCTCTTAATACGTATTTTAAGTTATTATAAATGAGTCCCGCAGTGTACTGATAGTAAAGAGACGATTCCCAGTCGAACAAAGAAGACTGGCTGCGGTCAGTAAGCGGGTGAGTGATCTTTTTGATCATCCTACGCAATGTGTCGAGGGTGCGCGGTATCGGTCCTTGTTAAACTGTTCTACCGTAAAGTACTCGACTTTGCATGCAGGTCATCGGGCTACCAAAGCGGAAGAGCCATCCCCTCTGCAGAGGATCAAAATTGCGATGGCATGTCTTCGGATCATCCTCGGGATGTTTCCCAGACCGTCGCCAATAGCCCATTGTGCAGTCCTAATTGAGCTGTTTCCATTTTGGTAAATATGCAATTCGAGCTGTTTCCATTTTGGTAAATATGCAATTCGAACTGTATCCATTTCCGTAAAAGTGAAACCGTCGCCAACAGCTCATTGTGCGACGTAAATAAAATATCTACCTACCTATTATGTATGTAAAATTATGCAAGTTAAAAAAAAAAGAAAAAGGAAACGCATTCAGGCTTGCAAATTAATATTTAACCGAGAAAAAAATAAAAACGCTTTTAAAATCTGGAAGACATCATTGGAAGGTGGGTGCAATAAATATTAAAAACATTTTAACTTGGCAGTGTTCAGCCCTAAGAAATCAAAGTATGGTTAAAACTATTTAAAATATGGTTAAATTTACCGTGTTTCTGGCCCTATGGGAATACTAAAAAGCTCGGTAACTTTTATCTAAGCGATGTGATGAGGATTTTAGTAAAACAAACAATAAAATAAGATTTTATAATCTGTGTTAAAATTTAGTAACTGTGGTAAAATTCGGTAATTTTATCATTATACCTAAAGCATGTCATAAAAACAATTTATTTAGTTACTTACTGTTGCTTAACTTACAGTTTTAAATATTTTTATATAATTAAATATTTTACTAATTGTGTAATAACTATAATTTTTAAACCATAATTTCCGGTAAACCGTTGCCATATGAATTAAAAAATTACGAAATGAATGGTTTTTAATACCGTATATTTTGGTTTTATTATCCAGAATTATCATTATTATTTTTTTTTTACCATAAGTGTCATTAACATATAGTACGGCACTTTTACTTGGACTTTTTTCTCCCTATGCTAATCGTCTTTCACTTCCTATATGTTTTCGTCGGCAATCAAACCTGTTTTGTTCTTTATGCCATTCATACTCTTGCATTGTCATTCGTCAGATTTCATTCAGTTTTTGTTTTTCATCCTCACTATTATATATTCATTTACGACGTCGTTATGTTAGTCTTTTTTTTAATTTTTGATGAGGATTATAAAAACGCAGATTGCGAAATACTCTAAATATATTTTAAAAGAAAAATAATTTTTCCTCTTTCTAAAAAAATATGTGGCCTTATGATTTGTATTGAAAAAGTATTAAACTATTTAAACCTCTATGCAATTAGTATCCCGTGAAAAATTAAAAATTATTAAACTATAAAAAATAATAACAATATCAGTTTTTACTAAGAATTAAATTTTAAATAATTCTTAGTTAATTTATATAACTTGTTTTAAGATTCCATATATTTTTAAATGACTTCGAGACTTAATAATTAAATTAGAATTAAGCAAACTGCAATTTTTATTTTTTTCCCAAATGACATAAAATCAGTTTTCCCTTTTTTAAGCTAAAGATGGATCAAAAGGAATTAAATCGTCAAAAGGATTTAAGCAAAAAACTTCCTTTTGCGAAAGAATAAAGGAACCTGTTGCTTAGAAACTATAAAAAATTGTCAAGATTAAAAGACAGAAAAATCTCAAGATAAAATATTTTTGGAACAGAAATTTCATTGTCGATTTTTAACCTGCTCTCTAAGAACAATGGATGTTGTCATGGTAACGAAATACCGAAAAGATACGTAGCTTGAGGCAAGGAAATGACTTATTCCTTTGCTTTCAGATATCGTAAGCATTAGACAGACGCGAAAGTGGAAAAAAATTGTAAAGCTTTGCTTTTATACGCTTTTTCAAGCAACCGAAAACAAAAATATCATTTTTCATGTCTCCCGAAGATTTATATGGCGTTATGACAATAAAATTATTTAATGTTTTTTCTTCGTGTACTTTTTCATTTAAAATTTGGTGTAAAATGTACGAGAAAAAATAGTTAAAAAAATGTATAAAAAGGAAGCATTCGTGACAAATTTTTTGAATTTTAAATCTGCAGTTTTTAAAAAAAAGGAATAAAATGTTATTAAAGTTTAAAAAAAATGTCAAAAATTCACATAAATTACTAATAATTTTCTGGTAATAAAAACAATTGCGCGCATTTTAAAAGTCATAAAATTTATTATTTTAAATACACAATAAATTAGTTTAACTTTATTTTTAATCGAAAATTTTCAATCTTTTAAAATAGTAAATAGTTTGTAAAAATAATTTATAAGATTATAATGATTTTCTAAAAAAGAATTTTGATTTAATAATTTTTCAACTGTTATAGACATGAAAATGTTTCTTAAATTTTTAATATTTTGAAGATACCTAATCCCAGTTTACACTCTTTAATACTAATTTACTAACTAATATTAAAGTATGAAAAATTGGCATAACAAATTAATATTCTGCAATAAAATTTTCCATTGAAATTTTTTAATCTTTTTAAAAATTATGTTACGGAAGACAAAAGTTCCGCTTTCCAATAGAAATATTTTTATACATTCTGCAATTTGCAGTTTTTTTTATTTTTTTAAAAAAAATGTGAGAATAAAAAATGATTTCTAAATCAGAATATTTGTTGCTCAAAAATGTAACTAAAAGTAACGAACATTTTTTGTTTTCTGCTGCATGAGATTTTTTAGGAAATCTTTGGTATCGCTGATTTAAAACCTGCAATCAATTTCTCTCTTCAAGCTACAGTTTTTTTAAAGGGCTTACGTAAATGTTGCGACAAACTTCAGGAGGGTTAGCGCACATTATCAGCATTAAAATTGAAATGTCGTCGCAAGCAGCAAGGGGCTCTTCCGAATTATAAATTGCTTTTTGGTGTGCCGCAAAATAAGTCCTAACAAAAAAAAAAAAAAAAAGACGCTCCCAGCCACGTGCGACGTCATTTCTGAGCATGAGCTCCTATACTATTTTAATCCTGATAAGTCTTTCTTCTCTAGAAAGTTGTCTCAACATTTATGTGACCTCCTAATAATATATAACTTTATTAAACCTGTACATTTTGATTAAAATAAACTAAAAATGTCATTTGAAAAATATTTGTAGCTGTAGAAGCAAAACTACGTTCAAATTTGAAATCCTCATACCCGAATTAGGCAGGGTCAAGTATTTGTATAAATGCAACAAAAATTTGTTCCTCAGTGAAATTAATTAAAACTCAGCAATCATGCGCAAAACTAAAAGATAACCGATGCCTTTAGAAATTGAAAAAAAAAATTTTATTGTTACTTCTTACCGCTTTTGGTGAGTTTGCAATATTAGATTAAGTTAATCATACGTTTACAAGATTAACACAATCGAATGAAAGATTAACAATATGTAAAGTTGCAA